AAAATTTGGAAGAATTTTAATAAACTCAACTTGTAAAACCTAACATGTCTTTAAAAAAAAAAAAAACCCCACCTCTGCGCTGACATGATTAGCTACACCATTCAAATGGTGCGACCTATCTGAAGCATGCTGCATCTAAACTCTTATCATGCTATTTGGGGTGTGCTATTTTGTGGAGAGGTTCATATGAAACTGCTAAAACCTAAAGTAACAGGACAATATACTTTACATATCAGAAGTTGAAATAAATGAGGAAAACAGTATGGCAAAGACATAATTCACATTTATTTTGGAACCAAAGCTCATCCCAAAAATTCCTTGTCAACCATCCAGAAGTAGCCCAGCTTTTTACCAACCAAGCAGCTTTTTACTATAGCAACTTCATTACCAAGATTACCGAAATTTTCCACACACTTCTAACAGTCTGTATGTGTTGTTACCTGGGCAACATTCAAAAAGGGCTTTTAGCTTTATAGAACTGGTAGGTCAAAGAGAAGTAAAGCTTCTTCAAATTGACTGTGCATCATTTTAATTAGAAGCAGTGAGTATGAAATCATCAACAGACAGAAAACCTTGAGAACTACCACCAGAGCTTCAATTTGATTAACAGACACAACTTACTGTCATTTGTCTTCATTTCTAGCCACCTAATTCCCCTGTGGAACAAAGCAAGCTCCATCCAAGACTTCAAAACATCTCCAGTCATACAGGCTGTCAAAGACATAAATGCTGAAATCAAAGGAACTTCTTTGAGTAAAGAATCTATCCTTCACAACTGGCTATAGTATGAAATACTCTACTTTGCTGCCCTAAATTCTGAAAAGCAGTCAGCTCAGCTGTGGATCTGTATAAACTGCCTTTCTGCCTAAACCAAACCTGCCTCCAAAAATTAAGATCCAGTCATTTAGAAAGCACATTTTTAAAGACGCTTTGAAAAGACTTTCAAAACTGCTTCCTGTACTGCTACAGCCAATTTGATGCTGTCTATTTGGCCAAACAAAAAATAATGGCATCTCCTTACAAAGAAAATATTTTCCCTTTCTTTCCAACAGTTTTAGGATTGATAAACTCAAGGTTGTTTCTCTTACACTAATAATTTTTCCCTCAGCTTTTACTCTAAGGATACTTAAGTGTTCTCTGGGTCATAGTCTAATCAGGAGCACAGCATACAAAGCTTACTTAACATTAAGAAGTACTAGATGACTCCAGAGACAAAAATGAAAGACGAGTTGAAAAGCAGAAAGGAAAACTGGCCTTCAAGGCTCTTCACCATCTGGTACTGACTCTTTCTTGCCTAGCTCTTTCCCTCCATTCCTTTGACTGCCCCGGCCTCTGGCCCAGAAAGGCCTTTCTCTATATACTATTTGTCCTATTTCCACATGTCCAAATCCTACCCATTCTTCAAAGCATGGTTTAAATGTCACCTCTTCCCATATCCTTACAACTAAAAGCAATCTCTCCCTCCTCTCTCTAACTTGTACTGCCTTACCTTTATCTCTTTAGTACACATTACTTTCTGCCTTACATTATCTTTGTTTCCATATTTAATCCCCCACGCAAGCATAATGCCTCACGGTCAAGGTTCATGCCTTATTCATCTCTATTCAAACTGCTTAACACAATGTCTTACATATATTAAACACTCTAATTGAGCTACATGAATGGGTTGGGTTAGGAAAAGAGATAAGTCCACTAGAAACAACTCCAGATTAGGAGTCCCCAGACCTGGCTTTGCTAATGACTAGCTATGTGACCTTGAACTTCAATCTTTTAGTGTGTTCATCCACAAAGTGACGAGGGTGAACTAAACCAGTTTTTAACTATAAACTGTTATCCATTATCTGGCTGTAAAATCAATTTGGGTGCCAAAACCCAGCATTTTTTAATAAAATGAAATAGAATAGAAAATACCAAAGTGTGTTGTAGGCAGTGCTGTGGTATGCTGTAAATGTTTAACTGGCTATCCAAAGGAGAGAGAAAAGCTCTGAACTGTAACATTTGCAGGTGTCCCTGGTGTAAATACTCCCACCAGGGCCAATTTCAAGCTACACATGGAGTTCCGTGGGAAGAGAGGCAGGATTGCGCTTACAAGCCAACTGATGAGACAGCTCCAGCAAGGTCCTGAAAAGATAAGTATTGTTTCACCAAACTTTTCTTTCAACTGTGTGTGTGTGTGTGTGTGTGTGTGTTGAATCAGGGTATAAGATGTATTTCTTACTGTGAGCCACAGTCAAAACAGTTCATAAATGTTCAGCTAAGCAATCTCCTAGTCTCTCTTCCATGTATGCTACACAATGCAATACATCTCACTCTTAGTTACATATGTAATCTCTTCACCACCAAAATTGATATGTCTCTTCAAAAATGAGAGTAACAGAGGTGCCTATTGATACCGCCAGAAGGCAAATTACAGGGAGTGGAAATTTGTCTTAGGAAGTATTAGCAAAAGGCCAAGGTTCTCAGCCTTTGTTCAGTTACAACCGAGGGCTACAACATCCTACTAGTAGCAATGGCCCATTTAGCAAAGGGTTAGGAGAAAGAGGAGGAGAGGAAAAGGAAATATAGTATGAAAAAAGGGCCATGTAATTGTGATATGTGCCCATTCCCCCACTCCACTAAGAACCTGGGTACAGAGAAAACCAGTGCTGTAAAAAAAAGGAAATTTCCATACCTGGTGTTTCCCTGTCAAATTCTCCAGCACAAGCCTGCACTGAGAATCCCCTACTACTAAAATTAAGTTTTTGCCATGTACTAGAGACATGTAGTACTTGTTGAACTTAGAAGAGGCAAGGGGGAAAATAGTACAGCAAACAGTTGTTAGACTTGATATTCTGGGAAAACCAGGCTTTTATTGAAAAAAAATACTTTATTTTCTTCTTATTTAAGCTTACTAAACTGGGTGAGAAGGGAAGTTTCTTGAATATATTTTTGGCTGTACTATGTCTATCACAACAACACAGTCTGTAGCCAGATTTTTCATGAGTGTTTATAAAGAATTGTGTTTTCTATTTTTAAGGTTATTTAGAAAACAAGAAGGCTCAGAATTTCAAGTGGGCTAATAATCTTAGCCCAAATCTAACTCCAAATCAACTGAATATATGCCTATAAGTTTCCCAGGAAAATCCCAAAAATTACACCAAAAAACACCAAAAGATGACAAAAAGAGGTCAGCAAGAGCACAAACTTGCAATACTCAAGTATGGCATCCTATCTGTTGAATGAGTGCAATATGGAAAGTAAATGAAGTATGAAAAAGAGAATGCTGAGATACAAGTTCTGCTTAATTCCATTAACTATTCCTTATTAGGGTCCACTGATAGTCAGGTACTTATACCTAATTTCAAATATTGACCATAAAGTGAAAATTATTAACCACTCTGAAAAACCAAGAGTCAGGTCAAGCAATGTCTTTTTCCATGCTCACAATATTAAACCTCTCCTTAAAAACTGAGTATGTTTTGGGACTTCCCTGGTGGTCCTATAAAGACTACATCCACTTCTCTCCAGATGACTTGTTAATACATAATACCAGGGCACATTTTGACCTGATTTAATAGAGACATCAGTCTAACTCAGTCTCAACTAACTCCCCTACCAAGCGAGCATTTAATACAATTTGAAGATAATGCATACATTAAATTCATCTGGTCTTTCTCCTTTGTAATTTCATTGTCAGTTTCACATGGAACTTTGTTGAGATAACGAATCACAGGCCAGTTTTCCAGTAGGAGCAACTTGTGGACCAATATTTTCCATGCACAAAATCCACTTCAAATTTGACCACAAGCAAACTTCATGTTTGTATCTTCTGACATCATACTACTGGATATTCTACAAAAGTGCAGCAGAAGCCACATATAAACACTATTATGAGAAAAGTCAGAAGGTTTTCACGATATCGTGTTGTCAGAATCGTTAAGAAGCAACTACTTACCTCCCACCATGTACAAGATAATTTAAATGTATTTTTAAAAATCCCTAAACCTTCCCGTACCAAAAATGCAGACCCTGAAATCAGTTTCCAGTCAGCGCTGAAATCTGTCAGGCAAGCAAAAGTTCTCCTTACCGTTAGCATAATGAGGTTGACAATTCTTATCACTTACATGAAACCCTCAGTTCTGCAAGTGACCAGGTGAATTTTGGTACATTTTCTAAGATGATCCTGAGAAGTATAAGAATACACAAGCACCTGGACACACTGCCCTGGGATCAGAAACAAACCCTGTCGGTCCAGTCCCCTAGCACCCGGACACCTCCCGCTGGCCAGTGGCCCCTTTCCACATGCTGACGCACTGCCCAGTCCTGCACCGTTGGCGACCAGTGCAAACTACTAGCCCAGTCTCAGAAACTTTGACTCAGTTATCAGTACACGGAGCACCCACAACCTGGACGGGGGTTGTTTGGCATGGCCAGGCGGTCAACTTTGAAGCGGGGCATTTCTTGCAAGTAGAGATCTGCCCAGGACGCAGCCTAACCCATCCAGCAAAACCACAAGCATCAACAGCAGGAGAGGAGCAAAGACCCGGGCGGAGACAGGGGGAGCGCGAGGGCAAGACGCGGTCACGAACAGATGCCTGAATGTGGGTAAGAAAATAACCTAACCACACGCCCCCCGGACGTGGGGCTGCTGGGACTGAGAACCCGGCAGCAGGCACGGCGCAGCAGCGGGCGGCAGAGGCGGAGGCGGCGGCGATGTCAGGACGGCACAGCTGGAAACGAGCTCCCAAGTCACCAACCCCGCCCCCAGGTGAGGGGCGCCGACCCCGACAGCCGGCCCGCCCGGGCCGCGAAGAGCCGCCGCCCGGGAGAACTGCGATGTCCGGGAAGCCACCGACAGTTCCGAACCCTCCCCGAGTCTTCCTCCCGAGGTCCTCTCGCATCCCGTCCCGGGCCTGGCCCCCACCGCTACCCTCCCCGGCTCGCCCCGGCGCCAACACCCCCAGCCCGGCTCCGGGTCTCTTGTCTGCCCGCCGGCCCCTAGGAGGCCGCCCTCACCTCACCTCCTCACGTCTCCGCGGGCAGGGCCGGAACAACTCTGCCAGGCACCCGGGTCCCACCCGCCGCCCCGCGCTCTGCGACCGGGCCCGTCCCGTTCACTCCGCCGCCGCCAGAGCCCTGGGAGGGCGGAGGGAGCAGGGCGGAGTGAGCGGAGAGCGGAGGGGAGGAGGACCGCCCGGCAGGAAGAGGCGAGGGAGGGGGCGGGCCGGGGAGGAGGAGGAGGAGGCGGTGGCGAGTCGGGAGCGCGCGCGTCTGGGCCCCTCGGCGCGGCGTGCGCGCTCCTGAGGGTGGAGGCGCCTTCTCTGCCCTGGGCGGCGGGCGCGCACGCGCGTACACGTCCCCGCGTGGCCGTGGTAGGGTTAGGGCCCGCGAGTGAAGACCCGGCCGACCTGGCTTGTTACGAGTAGGAACCGGCGAAGGGGCGGGATGCGCTCGGGGCGCTTCAGAACCTCCCAGAGGGTAACCGCGCCGTGAGCCAGCCCGCGCGGGTTAGCTGAGGCCATCCCCGAGCTCCGAGCGAGTCGGGCTGAAGCCCTGCCCGGCGGTTACCGAGCTCTTAGATAATTCTGAGTTTGGGGCGATTGTGTTCTTGCCCATAAACCTGGCTTACATATATTTTCATTCTTAATAATGCCCAGTAATCCTCAGGGAAGTCACCTTTTAAAGAATACTAACTTTCCTCGCCAGTTACTCTTTTCTGTGCCTCTTTCAAGGTGTCTTGTGTACTTCCGAAGTGCTCCCTTGCCGGTTCGTTCTGTGAGACTCAGGGGAGATTGAAGAGGAAAATAACCTGCGTGGAATGAACAGGAAGCACTATTATGTATTTATGAAGAAAACGTACCCTCATTTGCACCTTTTTATCCTTTGGGGTCATAAATTTGGGGGCACAAACTACTAGAGATAAAATAAGCTAACTCTTTATCATCTACTAATATTGTACTGAGCCGTCAACTGTGGATATCCTCCTTCCCAGATAGTGCAGGCAAAAATGACCAGGAAATTTTCTGAATTTCCTTAGCACGTTGTTTCTATAGGTTTGTGGCGCCGAATATATTCACCCTTACCTGGGTAAATCTGTGCAATACTTTATCCCACTAGAGAATCTTTGAGGCCCTGCTTCATTCATGTTTATCTTCCACCATGGCTAGCATAGTGTCTGACTCATAGAAAGTACTCTATAAACGTTATTGTATCAATAAGTGAATATATTGCAGCAAGAGTTAAGCGTATGTCCAATGATTTCTGATCTAGAGTGACTTCTTTAGTTTAAAATTCTCCCTCTGTCCTACCTCAATTCCCCTGCACTCATTTCCCCACCTAGATCCAAAAGCTACCTGAGAAATATGACATTTGTCCAAAAAGCCCTCTCAAGTTCTACACACACACACACACACACACACACACACACACACACACACACACACCACACACACACTGTGCCCTCCACCACGCCTTTTTCCTAATTTAAATGTTTATAGATGTTGGGACATATTAAGTGTTGCAACTGTTCTGTGTTTCCCCTGCCTGCTGGGCTTCTTTAAGCTCTGTAACCCAAGAGACTACCTAGCTCTGGGCCTGACCCAATAAATGCTGGTCTTTTAATATTTAATAAAGTTAAATATAACTCAAAACATCTGTATCTATTAATAAATAAGCCAACAACTATGTACTTAGCCTCTACTAAATGAAATACTAGTAAAGTTACACTGAACACCATAAGGAAGTCAATAGATGAAAAAGACAGTTTCTGCCTTCTGATATCTGCTAACCAGAAAAAAGCTTTCTGAGAAAAATGGCAACACTGCGATAATTATCTGCATTCAATAAGAAACAGCCCCTGAAAAAGGAAATAAAATTTTTAAATCACAAGTCCAAAATAAGTTTAGTGTTCCCAAATTCATTACCACATGCCTTCGGCAGCAATAACAGTGTCCACCATTGGCTGTTGCCAGTTAATTCTATTAAAGTGGAGCATAACAGCCAAGTCACTATTATAGGATCATTGATGTGCCAGCTTGCTACAAGGCAAAGAACTCTGTCCCATGGCCACATGTTACACCTCTAATCACCAGGGGTCATTCTGTAAAACGGAGCTGTTCCTCACCATAGAACTTGGATAAGAGATGTCACAAGAGAACCTAGATAAGAGACAAGTCACAAGAGAACCTAGATAACAGACAGTGAAGGTGATTTGGTACAAACTCATCCTCACTACCAGAAAAACAGTTCTAAGTACACTGCAAAGAACTAATAACAAAGCATTCTTCCTATAATGTGTGATGCTCACTTCTCTCCCCACTATGGCTTTCTTAGTATTAAGCATACACTAGCAGCCCTGGTCCATGAAAGGACTGAAGCTCTTACTTTGAGGGGAGGTGTTATAAAATGTTCTAACATGATTCATAACATGACAGAAACTGGTGTCCTAGGTCCAGATCTAACCCACAAATGCATTTTGTTTGGCCTGCATGGTGCTTAAAAAATTAGCCAAAGTTAAAAGCCAGAAGATTTCACATGCTTTTTGGGGTTCTTTTTAAAAAGTGGAAGATTTGGAAACAGTGGGCTTACATTTTCACATGAGGACAGTAAGCTACAGGACATGCTTTGTCTCTTTTACAAAGTCTTTACATTCCTTATTGTACCTTACACTGCTCTGTTTCCTTCATGTGGGTCTGCAATTCCCAATTTAAAATATAATACTATATCAAAAACTGGAAACAAGTTCAAATTTGAACAAAAATGTTAGAGTTTAAACTATGGTATTTAATGGAGTAGAATATTATTATATTGCGTTTATAATGAGCACTATTGGTTGACTCCCACCCAAGTGTGCATTTCCACCCCTCTGCAATTGTAAGTTAGCTAATGATTTGAATGAGAACAGGCCCAGCTCCAGCTCCAAGTGTAGACCCTAACAGAGGTACGTAATCAGCCTAATCAGGTCCTCACCTGACTCTGTCAGTGATAGACACTAACACAAGTCTAAATTGGTCCAGTCATAAGGAAGGCCAGATCTTGTGTTTGTTGGGAGAATAAAAGTCCTCTGTCTCTCTCTGTCTCTCTCTGTCTCTCTCTGTCTCTCTCTGTCTCTCCCTCTCTCTCTCCCTCTCTCTCTCTCTCTGTCTCTCTCTCTGTCTCTCTGTCTCTCTCTGTCTCTCCCTTTGTCTCTCTCTCTCTCTCTCTCTCTCTCTCTCTTTCTCTCTCTCTCTCTGTCTCTCTCTGCCTGGTGTGATGGATGCATGTGAGTCCCATAGTTATTGTAGGCACTTTGCTACCATAAGGGCAGCCAGCCTGCGGATAAAGCTGACACATGGTGCAAGAGCTCAAACCCAGATTGAAACCTACCACCTTCCTCTGGATTTAGTAACTTCCCTGAGCCAGTAAATTTTCTTAGCTACTTAAGAAAGTTCGAATTTGGCTTTTTATTACTTGCAGCCAAAGCTAAATTTTCCATGCATGTTACAGAAGAAAAGGCTGTAGTTGCATTATTTGACTCTTCTAAGGATACACTTCCAATGGGATGAATAGGTAACAACCTACGTGATAAAATTTTACAGGGTCTTGAAAGGAACTTCACCACCATCACCCCAAAATCCTTCCCTGACTAGGTTACCTTATGCCTTAGAATCCTTCACTATACTTTTTTTAAAACTTTGACTTCAGTCCTATGCCCTATTTAAATCAACTTACCCTGAGAAGAGCACTTCATGATTCTAATCAGTAATCTTGTATAAATGAGTTTATCATACGGTTTTTGAGTGGTTTTTTTACTAGTGGGAAGATAGAAAAAGAGACAATGGGAACCTGAGGAAGGAAGGAATCACAGAGAGAGCATAGATGTAATAGAAGAAACTACAGATACAGAAGATAAATTCTTATATTTCACAGTTCTATGCAGGGCTGAAATTCAGGCAAATCATACTAAGCCTATATGATAAATCAAACCAATATTATAATCACCCTTTTAAGACTGAATAAGAACAAAATCAAACAATATGTATATAAGGATCAGAAAATTTCCTCAGCAGTAGAAGAGGCAAGCAGAGCCATAAGTATCTCTCTGAAGAAGAAGAGCTGATGTACTACTTTTGTGATTCAATAAGAAATGAAAAGGACATCTACCAAAAACTATTCCCATACCTTGTGGCAGAAGTCTGAAATTCACTTCACTATCAGAGTCCTTTTCTTGGTCTGGGGCAGTGATCCTCATTGATGTATAACAAAATCACCTTGGGAGTTTATTTTTTAAATGCAGACTTCTATACTTAACCCCGAAGAGATTCAGTAACTCTGGGATGAGACTTGGGACTTGTTTTATTTTAACTTTTTATTACAAAAAATGTTTAAGCACATAAAAAGTAGAGAGAATAGTATAATGTCTTTATGTGCCAATCATTCAGCTTGAACAATTATCACCATATGGCCAATCTCCTCTTCCCTACCCCTCACATGGATTTCACCTATAAAAAAAAGATAAATATATATTTCATTATATAGTTCTAAAAGGTAAGGATTATTTTTTTTTTTGCAATCAATAAAATCCAGAATGTGGGAAACTCTACGGGACAAACCACCAAGTTCCTTCAACAAATATATTGCATAAATAAAAATAGGAAGGAGGATATGCTTCAATTGCTTGAATCTTCATTTTGTTTGTTTTTTAACAGCTTCATGCAGTATAACTGCCATACAATGAACTCTACATATGTAAAGTATACAATTTGACAAGTTTTGACATATGTATACACCTGTGAAACCATCACAACAGTTAGGACAGCAAACGTATTTATCTCTCAAAAAAGTTTCCTTGTGCCTCTTTGTATGTTCTCTCTCCTATTCCCCCATCCTCAGGCAACCACTGATCTTCTGTCATTCTAGATTAGTTTGCATGTAGAGTTTTCTATAAATAGAACCACACAATAGGTATTCTATTCGGTGTTGCTTCTTTCACTCAGTGGAATTATTCTGAGATTCATCCTCGCTGTTCATGTATCAATAGCCATTGCTTTTTAGTCTTCCAGTCTCATGACATGCTTCCAGTTCCAGTATCCACGTGAGCCATTGGGCGTCAGCATGTACTTGGCTTCAGCTCCCTCTAATACTCCAT